AAAAAACGAAGTCCAGATGACATGATTCAACCTTTTTTGTTATATTGTTATTGTTGTTATTTTATTTTTTTGAGTAAAATCTTGTTGTATGGTTTTATCTAGGAGGAGCACAGACACATGAAAATCATTGATGAGACGATGGCCCAGCTGCAGGACCTGAAGAACCAGCACCTCACAAAGAAATCTGAGGTTAATGATAAAAATCATGACATGGAGGAGATCCGCAAAAAACTGGGAGGCGCCAACAAGTCAGTGGCTATGAAAACAAATTCATTTGAAAATTTCTGCGGTCAGTGTACAAGTTACATTTTTGTTATCTGTATTTTCCATTGTTTTTTTTTGGGATTTATTTCAGAGAGTTGACTCAGCTGCAGAAGGAGGTGACTGCCATTGAGACCAAACTGGAGCAGAAGCGTAGTGACCGTCACAACCTGCTGCAGGCCTGCAAAATGCAAGATATCAGGTTGCCGCTTCGCTCTGGGACAATGGATGATATCAGCCAAGGAGAGGTGTGTAAACAGACATGACAAACTTTTTCTAATGAGAATAAAAAAAGTCATCTTTTGTTCTGCTGTTGTAGGGGAGCTCCCAGACAGATGAGTCCAGTAGCCAGAGGACATCCAGCAGTGTTCTGGCTAAAGAAGCCTTGATAGAGATCGACTACAGCATCTTATCTGAAGACTTGAAGGTATGCAGGAACTTCTGTTCCTTTTAACATTCAAACTACCTCAGTTTGTTTTAAAGCATTATTACTGTAGCTCTCTGGATTTGAGTTGCTTATATTTCTAAGTGGCAGTGATGTTAATAATAAATTACATTATTCTATTATTCTGCTCAGTTATAGTGATCTCACTAATGTACAAACAAAGATGAACTCTACTCAAAGTCAGGCTTTAAAATAAAAATAGAAATTAAATCTTTTTTTTTTAAATTTCCTACAGGATGCATTGTCAGAGGAAGAGATAAAGGGAGAGACGAACACACTGCAGCAGCGTCTGAATGAACAGCAGAGTATCCTGCAGAGGATCAGTGCACCCAACATGAAGGCCATGGAAAAACTGGAGAGCGTCCGGGACAAGTTCCAGGAGACCAGTGACGGTGAGTTTTAGTGGGTGAAATGACTGGGGTGAAATGATCGGGAGAAAAAAAAAATGGTAATGGTATAATTTCTGAATCTGCTAATGTTACATTAATGGTTTTGTTTGTCCTTCCCCTCCCCCAGAATTTGAAGCTGCCCGTAAGAGAGCCAAAAAGGCCAAGCAAGCCTTTGAGCAGATCAAAAAGGAACGCTTTGATCGTTTTAATACCTGTTTCGAGTCTGTGGCCACAAACATTGACGAGATCTACAAGGCGCTCTCGCGCAACAGCAGTGCTCAGGTGTGTGGTAACTATGACGACTTGTCGGTGCAGAACGAACACTTCTGTTCTCATTCAGTGACGTGTCTTGTTTATGACAAGTAATTGTAGGAATCTTGCTTCATGGTATGACACGGTGCACAATTCATGGCCCACGATACTTTTATTATAACAATACAGCAGTCCTGCAATTATCAATAAATTACATGGGAATGCTTAAATTATCCATCACAGTACATTTCAGTCTGAGTGAAAAATATTGTTGATGTTAAATGACTGCTTTCATGTATCTTGGTCATGATAAGAGGTAGATTGACAAGTACCTTTTATTTGTGTATTCAGTACCCTCACAAGAAGGAAGGAGAAAATGACACCTGTAGGAAAATCTGTTTAGAGCAGCTTCAATAAAAATATTAGTATCTGATGGGGACATATTGAGAATTGTATCAAACTGTATTTTCCTGGGTAAATATTTTCTCAGCCAGTAATGCTTAAATTAAAAGTGTTCTTCTTCTCTAGGCTTTTCTAGGCCCAGAAAACCCAGAAGAACCATATCTGGATGGGATCAACTATAACTGTGTGGCTCCAGGGAAGAGGTTCAGACCCATGGATAACCTGTCAGGAGGAGAGAAGACGGTTGCCGCCCTGGCTTTGCTGTTTGCTATTCACAGGTAAATGCATGTTTGGCTGACTTCGTAAGTTAATGAATATATCTACATTTTTCTTTCGCCTTCAACATATTTGCATTTTTGTAGCTACAAGCCCGCCCCCTTCTTTGTTCTGGATGAGATTGACGCAGCTCTGGACAACACTAATATTGGCAAGGTCTGTTTTTTTTTTATTTCGTAACTAATTGTCTTAGTGATGTGATTAATTTAATTTAGCTTCTTATTCTTGTTTTACAACCTTGCCTTTGTTCCCATAAGGTGGCCAATTACATCAAGGACCAGTCGGTGCAGAACTTCCAGGCCGTCGTCATTTCTCTGAAGGAGGAGTTCTACACCAAGGCAGACTCACTCATAGGTGTTTATCCAGAGGTGCGTTTCTCTTCTTGTTCATTTTGAAACATTTCTCTATTTAAGAATAGACATCTTGAAAAGTTCTCTTTTAAAGTTACTAGTAACTTGACCTGTAAGCTATAGGCCACCATCAACAGTCTTGATTAGAGCCTAATCACAGTCTACATTTATCTAGGAAGCACCGAAAGAATTGTTTTTAGCGAGTTAGCGGGACTGTGCATGAAGCAAACCTTCATAATCCCAAATATTTTTATTGATATCTAAATTTATTTATTTTTTTTTCTCATTTCTAGTACTAGTCAAAGGTTATACCCACCTACTCTTTGGGTAGGTGTGTTCAAATGTTTTGCTGGTCCTGAACACGTATCAGCCAAGAGTTGGGTTCATAATTTACTTTAATGCCATGAGGTCAGAGTCAGTTTCTTTGTCATTTGCACCACATGTGGTACATGTGGTGGAACGAAATTGTGTAAACAGGGTCTCTGTTACATCCAACAATAAAATGTAAAAGAAAAACGGTAATAAGATCTAAGATATGATCTTATCACTGAGGTCCATTGTGAATGACACTGATGGCTACGAGGAACGCTGTTTTAAGAGAATTGCTTGGGTAATATTTATTAAAGTTAGTGTTCATTTAAAGTTTCGTATGGTGTAATTTGGAAAATAAAAAAAAAGCTCTGTCATTTTAGTTTATAAAATACTTCATAATTTTAGGTTATATAGTTTCAAGCCTGTTCTAATAATGCAAAATCTAACTTGGGCATTCTTCATAATCCAGAATAAAATGACGAATAATCCCATCGTCTATCTTTTAAGAAATTCTAATATTGAAACTTGTTGTTTTCATTCACAGCAAGGAGATTGTGTCATCAGCAAAGTGCTCACCTTTGACCTCTCGCAGTATCCAGATGCCAGCTCAAATGCAAATGAATAATGAGTGCGCTCATCTCCATGTGGGCAAGTTGTATGTTTCATTTACTCTGTAGTCACAGATTATGTATTCATTAGGCCTTTTATGTTGTTTTGTTTTTTACCTGTTGTGTTTTATCATGTATTTGTTGGACATTATAGATCAGTAAATTAGGAACATTTTGTAGTAAGATACACAAACATTTAAACAGTGGAGCCATTTTCTCTATTTGCCACAGTAATAAGTTCAAACAAATATGAATTACTAATGGAAATCAAAACTTTTTCATTGAACTAGAATTTTATCAAGTGGAACTTATGCCAAGTCAAATGAATGCACATTGTTTCTGACTGCTTTTTAACTTTTTGTGGCTCTCGTTTCATTTGTGTGCTCTGAACTGCTTTTGTTGTGCGTACTTAAAATGCTACTTTTTTATTTTCAAAGCCGAAAGCAAATGTTGTTCCAGTATTTGGAGACATTCCCTTGTGTGATAACTAAATAAAACTCAGAATTAGCTGCAGCTGGCAGGACTGTAATGAGATTCTGAAGCTTGTCTAAACAAAATAACTTCAAAGAGAACAGTCTTACGAAAAACAAGAGTTGTTTGTTTGTGTTATTCTGAAATGACTGTTGCTAAACAAACAAATCCACATATGATTTCCTCGAGTCTGTTTTGCTTTTAGCTTCAATAAATAAAATACAATTTAATTGTTCTCCTTTTATTTCATTTACATGCCAGTGTTCAGATTTAATAGTTTTTTTTCACCCCTCAAGTGTGTGCATGTTGTTGGCTTAGATTTCACTCCATAAGGAGTCTCACCTTTCTGTGGTGTCTCTATAAATAGTCGCTCAGTTTCACACCACCGTCTGCAGAGCAGCAGCCTTCTTACTCCGTCTCTTTCTGCTCCGACGAATTTTTACAACGGAGCTTTAGGGCCACGCTAAGAAAAAAAAAATTAAAAGCCATAAAATTACGAGACTTTTTGCTGTTCTCGTTCCCCCCCCCCCACCCCCCCCCCCCACGAGTCGGATTCACAACGTGACCTGTCAATCAATCCAGTAGGCGTGACAGCCAAGGACCAATCCAAAGCTAAATGAGTCGTAATATCCAAACGCCGACATGATAAAGCAGGTTTACCGCATTTTAACTGTGTAAAATGAAGAATGTCGAGCATCTTAAGTTATATTTTAGTATTGGTTTTACAAATAAGGAGATGGTTAATCTGTCAGCACATCAGCATCAGGTAATTATCAGTATCAGGACTTTGAACCTGCTTACAGTAAGGTGGTACGCTCTGATGGGCTGCAGCAGCTCTGCAGGTAAAGAGCATTTAGCTTCGGATTGGTCATTTGCTGACACGCCCACTGGATTGATTGACAGGTGGTGTCGTGGATTCAACTCATGCAAAAAAAATAAAAATAAACGAGAGCTGTTAAAAAAATCGTACTGTTTTTTATTCTCACAATGTTAAGACTATATTTGACTTTATTCTCATAATTTTATGGTTTTAATTATCTTTCTTAATGTGGCAATGTAATTTTTTATTTTTTCTTAGCCCTTCTTAGCCCTAAAGCTCTGTCGTAAATTTTAACCGGCCAATCCTCAGCTGCGATTGTTTAACCATGCTGACATTTTCCTCATCTGTTTAGCAAGGTGTGACGTTTGCAGTTGGGAAATAAAAGGTAAAAGAGACATTATTAATTTGGAGTATTTATTTTCTTTGACAGTGCAGTGAAGTAACAACCTTACTGGTACAGATTCAGAAGTAAAGAAGAGTTGAGGTGGGAGGTACACGCTAAAACTAGCCATGTCTTCTAAACCTTTCAGTGTAGGCAGATCAGAGGACAAATGTAAAAAAAATAATAATAAAAACGGTCCTCTTGAAGACCTGTTCAAAGATTTTAGAGCAAAACATGAATCAAGTGCAAATATGTCCACAGATATAAACCTCGGTGAGCCTTTAAGCTAAATCAACCATACTCCAGGTATGCTTCAGGCTCCTCTGTGCTAAACTGCTCTAAACAAAAGAGCTTCAACATTAATATAAAGAAAAACCCTAAAATCTGGAACAGTAAATTTATTCCATTTGTTGAAACTGCGCAAACAATTTCCCATTGCAAGATGTATACCTCTGTATTTACAAAAATAAAAATACCTCTGTTACTTTCAACTGCGAATTGTTCGAACCAGAGAAAAGTTGGTAAACCTTTGTACGATTAAATGACAGAACATCGTTGTACTTTGCTGTGAAAGCTCCAGATTCCCCCAAGTGCTGTCAGACTTTGGATCTGGAGGCAAAGCAACTCGTTTCCACAAAGTTCCCACCGTCTTCAGTAAAATCGGGTTTCTTTTTCTTTTATAGACATTTTAGTCAAAGGTCACTGTCCTGCCTCCCTCGGCGTATAGTAAGACACTTTACTCACTCACAGGTGTCCCCTAAGTGGAATGGATCTCTTCAATAAATGCTACAAAGAAAGAAGTACGTCAATCGATTTACTTTGACATGGGTTTGTGTTTTTATTAGTCCAATGAATCTGAAAGGTGCCTATCAGATGTTTAGTTTCTCCTTCGTTTGGCTTCGACCACTCTTGACACTTTCACTTGCTCCAATCTGTTTCCTGACCTTCAGTCACGCAGGCAGACAAAGATTGTCAAACGGTCAACAAGCAAATTGATGCTATTGAGAGGAAGCCCCTTTGAAGAGTTAAAAAAAAAAAATTCCACAATTTAACCATGTAAACTCAGCTAACATCTTTTAAACTTCTGAGTCGCCCGGTTTCTTCTGGGTAGGAATTGGACGTCTCTTTTTCCTAACGGCCGGCTCTGGGTGGTTGTTTTTTTGTCCCACCACAGCAGGAGCAGACGGAGGTACGGGGACAGGACGTCTCTTTTTAGCAGAGGGGATGCTGCCAGAGCGTTCGTTGAGGATGCCCCTAGCCATGCCCTCCATTTCAGATACGGGGATGCGCATAGCTTCGGCCATTTCCTCCTTAGTTACAGAGACAAAGTCCGGGTCTTTGGCCAAAGATACAAGACCACCTCTTTCAAGAGCCTGAGGAAAATCAACAAACTGTTACAAGCAGTTATTTTTTTCTATTCGGTATTTTACATCAAATGATACATTTATATTTCAAATTACACTCTTTATAAATCAAGCCACTTAAAAACAGAAATCTGTTTTTGCTCAGTAAAAACTGCTTATATCAAGTTCAGAAAAATTACATTAGTTTCTTTTTGGTGTAAAACCTATATGGATAATGACAGATATAACTTCTTCACTGACCTCCTGGACGAGTCGATCTGCTGCATACTGATAACTACGACCATCTCCATAGTTGGGGTCATAAGGAAACTGCAAAAGAAACATGTTTGTGCATAAACTACTCTAATCAGGGTCATCTCTGCTAGATGAGTCTGCCTCATACTTACCTGTGTTTTATCTGTTCTCACAGGAAAGTTCCAGGAGTGTTTGTCTAAAACCATTAAAGACATTTAGTTTTTTAAATCTTCAGTGTTGACTGATTTTTTTTATTCAGACTAATAAAAATTTGGCCTTTAAAACAAATACATGCTACTTATGTGACTTGAGTATTCTTCCTTTACTGATTTTATTCAATAAGTCTTAGTTTATACCTGGCTCGTCATCCTCATAAGGATTGTAGAATTCTTCTGGGCTTCCTTCTCTTTCAAAAGAAAATCTTGTGGGGGAAGAAAATCAGATAATTTTACCAGCGTACGTCATCAAAGTTAGACCTACAGGGTGTGTTGGCACTCACTCTGCGAAGGCGTTGTTGTTAGTGTTGCTCTTTGGTGCAGTTGTGGGGAAAAAGTCTGTGCTGGGCATCAAAGCAGAGGAGTTTGGCGGAGACTCGGACTGGCTTTCGGAAAACTGGAGGGGTCGTTGGTTGGTCACCTGAGCGCTCTGAGCGTTGGCGGTCTCGGAGGACGTGAAGGAGTCTACTCGGTTACCAAACAGATCATGTGAACGCTGGAGACAAAGCAAGACGAGCAGGAAAATTCACATTACAGTGAAAGAAAGCAATGGTTTTTAAAACATGAAGGTAGGTTTAGGAGAGCATTAACGGGCATCATAGCTGCAATTCTTTTCAGAGATTTTTTTTCTTCAGACTACCCGAGAACAAGTTTGTAGTTAACAAGCAGTGACTATGATGATGCATACGTGATAGTGTGACCATGACAGTGAAATGCAATAACGAAATTTATTTCATACCTGGTAAATGGCTTCTTCTCCAGCCTCTTCCATAGCTCTGTCCATTTCTTCCTCATTTTGCAGGTCTCCTGAAATCGCTCTGTGCATCTCTGGAGCAGCTTCTTCTTCTATACTCCTCAAACCAGCCTAAAATTAACAAACAGGAACAGGACAAGCTAAAACCCTGTGTGTTCATAAGGACAGGAAAAAAAGATGTAAAAACAGCAGTAGATGATACAGAAGCAGCTGCAGTGGAGTTTCACAGCCAATGCAATCACAGCTAAACAAGTTCACCTGGATTTCTGGTCCTGAGGCGCTCTTCTTAGTTGGACGGTAACCGTAGTACTCCTCCTGTCGTTTCATGAACTTACGGAAATGATCTTGGAGCAAAAAGGTGGCATAGAACTTCCCCACGGTAACCTCGTCATCTGTAAGTCAGTGTTTTCTTTGTCAGACGTTTTAGATTGTTTTGTAAAGGTGAAAGGTGTCGACAGACTTACCTCCTATAGGGGGGATGACCTGGTCCAACAGTTTCATACTTGTGCGTTTCCAGATTTGCTTTATGATGGCTCTCAGCTCTTCATTGGCCTGCTCGAAATTTCCTGTAGGAATTATTTTGAGAAGGGATAACAGAATTATAGGAGGTGACTGAAGACAGTGGGTATATTTTCAGGTGATTGTGTACCTTCTGTTTTGATTTTGAGTGCAGTCCTGACCAGAGCGAACAAGGTGGCATTGAAAGTAACGGTGCCATCGCTGTTGAGAGGCATGTTCATACCAACCAACCTCTACAGACAGAACAAATGGTAAATGGACTTTATATAGCGCTTTTCTATCCTATCAAGATGCTCAAAGCTCTTTACACTACAATCTGTGCCCTCATTTATCCATTCATACAGCACTCTACTATGTATACAAAGAATAATTAGTGCTTTATCACATTCATACACCGATGGGACACATCGGAAGCAGTGAGGGGTTCAGTGTCTTGCCCAGGGACACTTGAGCATGTGACTGTTGGAATCAAACCTCCAGCTGTCGCATTGGACGACGACTAACCACTCAGCAACAGTCGCCCCACACACAATGAAAGACTCTCTTTGTGTCTTTCTAAAAAAAACTGGAACAAATGGGCATGAACATGGATGAATGTTCGGCTTACCTTGCATGCAGCACGATGTGGACAGAACTTGCCGAAGCCCAACGGGGGTTGAATACTTCGTAGCAGCGTCACAACATCCAGATGTTTAATTCTCCCCCTGTAGATTAGAGGTATTTATTATAAAATCCTATTTTTCCAAAAAAAAAAAAAAAATTATTTAGCCTTCACTCTCACGTGGCTTCGGGGTCATATTCAGCCCAGATTTTCTTAAACTCGTCCAAATGGTGTGGTCCAAGAAGAGACCAATCACGGGTCAGGTAGTCAAAGTTGTCCATG